CTTACTTTCTGTCTCTCTCTCTCTCTCTCTCTCTCTGTCTGGCGAGCACATACGCCCTATAGCAAAAAAAAAAAAAAAAAAAAAAACCTCTCCAAAAAAATTTAAAAATTTAAAAAAATCTGATGCTCTGTGAGGCTGACCCCCATGGCAAGGTTCCAGGTTGGCATCCAGAGACCTCTCTGAGTATGCTGGGCATGGGCCTTGCCCATGATCTGGGACTGGATGACACTGCAAGTGAATCACAGCATCAAGCCCTGATGGGGTGCTCTCGCTCTCTCTCTCTCTCTCTCTCTCTCTCTCCCTCTCTGTGTGTGTCTTTTGTGTATGGGAGAAAGAAAAAAAAAAGCAAATTAAAAAGAAATAAAAGGAAAATTACTTTTATGGTCCTTCCCACCTTCCCATCTTTGCCACTTCTCTACCCCAGGAGAGACACAGGATCAAACGATCTCTCTCTCCCAAACTAGTCGCCTGACCTCGAGGGGGTTATACCGAGATGCCAGATTTAGCAAATAAAAACCCTGGTTTATTTAGTTATTGGGCAACCCTATACTCACACTCCTCCTCTGAACGTCACTTTTCCTTTCGGTCAGTTGAGGATGGTCCCTCACTTGCAGGGGCCACTGCAAGGACTAAGAGGACCCAGACATTTCATGTGGGGTGGTACTGGCCGGAAGTCGGGCTCGTTAAATAGCAACCCTTATTACCGAAACCCTGCCCAGTGTCCAAAGCCATGCTAGGACCCTGGTCATGGTCGCCTGGTCTGTAACACTCTCACCTATGTTGATGGCTTCGTAGACATACTCAGGGTCATGCATGAGGTCACACAGGGCCATGAGGGCTTTCTGCCTTGTCACCAGGTCCTCTGACTGCAGCTCCTCATTCAGCTTGGGCAGGGCTCGACAGCCATAGGCAATGGCAGCCTGGGCGGGGTTGACATCAGGGGGCAAGTACATGGAGATCCGTGCGTCGGCCATCTTTCCACTCCCGCAGAGGGCGGCTCTCTAGCTTTCAAAACGAAGCTCTGCAGAAACCACTGGGTCAAAGAACCCAGCAAGCTGTTGTTACTAATTCTGTGATTTAGAAGCAGCGTCTCATCTGATCCTCAGGACTGTGAGGCCAGAGGAGTGGCGATTTTCACATCCATTTTACAGGGGAGCAAACTGAGGCTGCGAGCAATGAAGAGGTTTATTTGCTCAACATCACAGAAAAGGTAAGGAGCAGCCTAAGGTGCAAATTCCAGAGTTCTCCCGGGTGCTTATGACAAAATAAACCGCTGATACTTTATGGACTGAGTCTTTAGCCAAAGGCACCAAAAAGGACAAAACAAGGGCCAGCAGGTGGTGTGGTGGTTAAGATGCTAGACTCCTGTGTGGCTGACCACGGTTCGAGTCTCCGACCTGGTGGCTTGAAACGTTGGGCACATGTGCATACATACCTAAAATCCTGAGAGGAGAATGGAGGAAAAGGGATATGGCAAGGCCATCACCCCTGCCCCGGGGAGGGGGGCGATTTCTCACTTTCTGTCTCTGTCTCTTCAGGAAGCACACATGCCCTATAGCAAAACTCTCTCAAGAAAAAAAAAAAGGAAAAAATAAACCAACCAAGCAAATACCAAGATGGTCACTCTATTTAGTGCTTATCCTGTGCCAGTAATAACTAGTATCTAACTCAGCTACCCCATAAGGAAGGCTTGTATCATCCTTATTCTGAGGTTTGGGCTAAGGAGTTTGCTAGAGGCAACAGAACTGGTAAGGTTAGACTCATTTGCCCATCAGGGACCCATATTCAGATGCTTTCGACACATCCACAAAAAAGGAATTATAGTTAAAAGGTGATGGGACCATGGGGAACCAGCAGTTAGCGTAATGGCTATGTCTCTGGACTCCCACGTAGTCGACCGCGGTTCGTGTCCCGGACCCGGTGGCTTAAAACTCACGCCGGGCGCGTGTGCATGAGTGCCCAAGATCCCGAGAGGAGAATGGAGGAGAAGGGATTGTGGCGTGACCATCCCCCCTGGGGGGTGATTTCTCGCTTTCTGTCTCTAT